AAAAACCATGTTTCATTGTTCAATAATATCGGTTTGTTTGTTTGATTGTTTGTTTTTGTTTTCAAATATAAACATTGTCAGTAATGATACCTACAGCTGGAATGTTTTCCTTCTTGAATATCTTTGGAGAAAGTGAGATTCTAAGGTAAACAGACAGTCGATAAACTTATTAAGTTAAATTAAGATCGGTGATGATTAGTGACGGTGGAATTCAAGATACATATCAAATGGATATACATGTATTTTAGAGTTGATGTTTATTACGGGACTCGAACTCAATATCGTTTGTATTAAACGTCATTATATCATGTACTTAGTTACTGAGTCGGAAAACTCACTTGTTTGTGTAATAGGATGTATATATTGTCAAAAAGTGATTCATCAATTGCAGTCTTAAACATCAATGGAAAGATTCAAGCATTGCATGTACCTAAATTAAGGGTTGCTTTGGTTGTCAGAAAGGGGTATAAGCCTCATGATCTCTGAAGGAATTCAGCTTTCACCATGAAGCGTCATAACTTTTCCAAATAAAGAACTTCTAACTCAATGGTTTGAATTATTTTCTTCTGGTTAGCATTTTTTGGTTAGTTTACTACGGGATGAGATCACTAACCCCAAGTCCAACCCTCCTTCTTTATCCGGGCTTGGGACGACCGGTAGCCCAAGAGGGGCTACAGGTGGAGTTATACGTAAATATAGATTTTAATAACGTAACGGTATTTTGTTTTCGGATGTTTGAATTTTCCTGCTGGTGTTATGAACTGCGATTGATCAGTTTCTTGATATATGTGCATGCTGTGTAGATTATCTCGATAATCCTATTCAGTAGGATCTGAAAAGTTGGAAAAATGAAAATCAAGCAAGTGCGATAAAAGTAATTTTGATGATTTTGTAATAGTATTCTGACACGAGAAAATGGGTTTTAAGTGTTCTTTAAGCCCTGACGCTTCAGGCTGAGCTATTTCGTTTACTACCCTACATATGTGTTGTATGAAGTATAAGCTATATTGCTATGTAGAGCTGAAGGTCTCATATGAAACTGGAGGTTCACCGTTTATACTGAGGATGGTTCAGCATGATTACTTTGGTAAGTTTTGCTAACTGTTCATGTACAAAATTGGTTTGCTGGTTAACCTATTTCATTCATACTGGTGGTTGCTTTTCAGTGTTTTCAAAGGCCATTGTCGTTGGGACATTGTAAAGCATGTCACCATTGTTAACATTATTGAGTTTGACTGTCGTGTAAGAGGAATAGTTCAACTTTGGCTTATTCATGTTGTGCATTATTGATTTACACGATCAATTATGTGATGTAAATGTGTATATGAATATTGAGAATGGTGCACCAGGGTGCTTGGTACCTGTGTGTTTGCGCCACAGTATTGAACTGTACTATTCAGACTGTAGCGTTAAAGCTTATATGATGTTTGGTTCTCCTGTGAATCAGGATTGAGTTATACTGCTCGAATTATAAGGTTTAAGCCTGGATGGTGTCTGGTTCTCCTGTTAAACGAGATTGAGCTGTACTATTTGGATTGTCACGTGAAAGTCTCCATCTAAAAAAACAGATGAATAGTGGCTAGTGATGGAATCCATAAGCAATGGTATAAGAATATTCTAATTTATGCATCATCATAGATGTGAATAATCTTGAAAGGTATCTCGGTCACATGTTTCTATCGCACCTGATTGAATAGATACTGTACTTTTCTTTTTTTTCTTTCTAGAAATTGATTTTAACATGACAACCGCTTCACTTATCTTGAAAGTCTCATCAGCCATTGTGGTCAGATGTGTAACGAAATCTCAGCACGGATACAGAAGGCTCGACTAGCTTTTGCCAACTTGCGTCATTTATGGCGTAGGCGAGATATACGTCTATCAACCAAAGGACGTGTTTACTGTGCAGCAGTTCGTTCCGTTCTACTTTATGGCAGTGAAACATGGCCGGTAAACGTATAGGATATTCATAGGTTACTAGTATTCGATCATAGGTGTCTTCGAAACATTGCTCGTATATCCTGAGAACACCGAATAACTAATTCAATTGTTAAGAAACGGATACTAGGTAAGGATGGCAAAACGATTGATGACGTAGTGAAACTTCATCAGTTGAGATGGCTGTGACATGTGTTACGTATGCCCAACGGCCGACTGCCTCGACGTGCGCTGCTCAGTGGTACAGGAGTAGGTTGGAAGAAAGCTGGGGACGGCAAAACCAAAACATGTCACAAATGCATGAAGTCACTGACAAGTGGACTAAGCCATGTTGGTAGGTGTAGACTACTTGGTGGGGATCAGCGAGACAATAGCAACCGATGGTTGAAGACCCTGAATGACGTGAATCAAAATCGTTTGCAATGGCGCATGTGCAGGTCCACACTTTGTGTTCTCTGAAATTCTAATCTTATGAATTTCTCATATCCTTTCTTTTCCTCTTTCCAAATTTATTTCGCTGGATATTACTTCTTGAATAACATCTTCAAACCCTATTCTTCCCGATTGCTGCTTATACTCTTACTACCTCTACCACTACGGAATTTGAGTGAACAACTGCATCTCTGTGCTCATATGGTGTGGCAACTCGAACTGATGTACGTACGTACGAAGTTCTACGTTATTACTGACTGACTAACAACTACGGTATTTATAACAAAATTACTATCATGAATTCAATATGATTTGTATCTTTATTTCAATCTCACAACAATGAATCGATGAAATTAAGGTAAAAACTAATTCAGTCAGTAATAATTTTCAGTACTGATTTCGAAAAGATAATAGCTAAAAGGTAAGTGGAAAGGGATGTTGTTAAAAGGGGTGACATTATTATGACCTAACATGATAGCAACAAATGAACACTAAACTATCAACATGGAATAGTACATACTTTGAATATGAACATCTGAATGTAATGTGTTACAAAAATGTAATATTAAATTGAAAGTAACCCCTTTGAATGTTCTATTATGATTGATGATATTCATTCAATGAATACACTACTGAAATGATTTTATTGTCTTAAGTAGTTATCCCTTTAGGCTGATAAGTTATCATCAATGTGTTGGGTAGTCGAATCCCGAATATGAAATGCTTATGTTACTTGCTTACTGACTGATGTATGGGTCAAGATGATAATGATTGGTTGGTTGCTTAATCAGATTTATAAATTGTCTGACAGGTACTAGATGATTGAGATCATGAATCAATTGATGTTAGACCACCGTTGGAAACTTAGAAGCAGTGGACGGCGGTTTCGTCCTAGCATGGGACTCCTCAGCAGTGCGCATCCACGATCCCACTCCTGTACTAGATGAGTTATGTATTCTCCTATCCTTATTAACATTATTGTTTGCTGATAGATTATGTCGGATTGTTGTTGATTTTATGGTGTGGAAATATATTTACGTTCTAGTAAGGATAATCACGTGTTCCTGATCTGAGTTGTGTTAAAATCCTGTAGAGTAGACACTTGGAGGGAGTCTAGTGTAGATATTCGTTTAAGACAGATTAACGTCCTATTCATGTAGACGAGAAAACTTTGACTGTTTTAACAATTACGTCTAATACTCTACTTAATCTGTCAGAAAATATGAAGAGTAATACATACTTTCAAGGATCGAAATTGGGTTACGCAACAACAACAACAATAACATGTATGTATGTTAAAAATTAGATATTTGAATCATGATATAATGACAGCTGGACGCTACGCTTTCTCAAACATAACTCAGATAACATGACGACGGTAATAAGAATCGTCAGTCAATCAGCTATAACATAGGACTAGGAACATTTTGCATCGGTTCAAGTTGCCATACCTCATTAGCGTAACAACATGAACACCAGATTCATAGAAGTAGTTAATTCAATGATGGTAATATATATAGGAAAGATTATGTATGAGGATAAAGTAAAGAAAGAAGGAATTAGTTTGTAGGAAGAATGATTTGAAGCGATTTTAATCTCAAAGTTTAAAGGAAGACAAAGAATGTATACATCGACGCCATTGTAATCGATTCTGAGCCATGTCATCCATAATCCTCAACCAAATAGTCTTCATCTATCAATATTGCTCACACTAGAAGTTAGTGATTTCAATGACTGATGCCACATTTTAATTACTTCAAACCATCCCAAACACTAGTCAGCATTCCGAGTCGTGGTAATCGGAATTCAGGCATACGTAACACGTGTCCCAACCATCTTAGTAGATGAATATTCACAACCTCATCAACTAATTTACCATCATTTCCTTATACTCTGTATCTGTCTATCCTGAGACAGAAGGTAAATCGGATATATTTCACATCATTAAAACTGTTTTTCCTTCTCTCAATGTTTACCTTTACTAATATGCCCACATTTTGATGATCTCTCTTATGGTCTCACCCTTATCAGTGTGATTCACTTGAGAAAATAAGTAACATAAATTAAAATAATGATAGAACCAGTGATTGTATGAAAGAATAAACATCCAAGAATATAATTAGGAAGAATGATGTATATGAAGGAATAGTGGAATTCAATAGGCATCAGGTAAAAAGTGAACTAAATCTACATCACTGAGATAAATTTGAACTTACACAGATCGATATCTTCGATTACTAATCTTGCGAACTCCTAGCAGGTAGTACTAACACGAATATGTTTAATAGTTAATAATTTCATGAACTGACCAGCGCTTACTGTTAATTAAATAGTATTGCTTAATAATCAATGCATATGTACAAGTAGTCAGAATGTTTCTGAATATGACCATGTAGTGGCTGTATTTCGTTAACCAATCGCTATCGTGACCGTTATCATATAATCTTCAACAGTGTTTGAAATCAGAAGGCAAATAGAAGCAGCGACTACAGTTTTATTATAGTTGATAATTCATACCACAAAGCAGTGAGGCAACTGCGTGAGTCAGCGAATCGAAAGTGTGGAGTGTGTAGAGTGTTAAATGTACATGTATCTATATAGGGAAATGAATGGATCATCGAATCAATTAAGCAGTTAATAATAAAGCTAGCAGAATGAATAGATGCGCGTAGGCGGTAAGAAAATGTTCAAGCATACACATATTTCATACAAGCACAACAATAATAAAGGTACAATAAGTTGTTATAGTATGGATGACTTTGTCCCCTAAATAAGTTAATAAAAGGGCTTAACTGAGTTAAAGGAGAACAAACTCAGTTGCACGTGAGTTGCTATGGCCACCATCGTTAACACACTGAACAATCAAGCTGATCAATGTAAAACCTTCTTATGCTTATAGATTTATTATACATTCCCAATCGACACATACCGCTTTTTCTGCTGAGAATTCTATATTGTACCAAAATATAATATTGAATAAAGGCATTAATAACAATAATAATAACACTACCAAAAAGCTTTGGTGAACGAAAGAAATACATCCACCATCCCGACTCGTGAGATCCGAACATAGGTCTCGTGCGTGAACGCCTAACCTCCAACTTCAACTAATCCACGAATTTGCGCTATCATCGTCCATTGTCTTCAGTGAGTTATTATCTCACGACAGACCCGACTGAACTTCACTGGTCACTGCTTCTCAGAAGAAATCCAGGTTCTGGATGGTGTGTGCTGCTGATATGGATATTTATACATAGAGAGTATGTAACATTGATCGAAAGTGAAATATCTGGCATAAGAAGGTTAAAAAGATCAAAAAGAAATGGACGAGGACAAAGAATGATTGATGAGGAAACAAAGAAACAATGAAGTCTGAAACCATTGATTGACATTTTGCAAACGAAATATTCACTATATGATTCTCAGATTTTACTAAGATGTTACGAAATTTATATTCGATTGAACCCTGCTTATGTATCTCGTTCACTTCAATAGTTGTTATGACATATACTAGCTAGTAGATGGTGGTTGGAGGTAGTCTACAGGAAACCCTGGACCCGGGTTTCGTGCTACTTGGAATTCGTCAGGAAGGTGTACCTGTAATCTTGAGGGAACTGGTGATCCCTGGCGGATTCTATCCCGTGTCAACCAGCTTCACAGTCAGAGACATTACCACTGGGCTATCTGGGCCGCGACCAACCTCCTGTAAGACTGAGATCTAATCACAATTGATTGAGTGTCTATTCCTTATTAGTGCAGATCGAATGCTATCGACCATGTTGCAATGTGGCCACCAACGTAGGTGACTCGACACTGCATGAACTATTGTGAGATTAGATAGTGGTTGAAGGTAGTCGACAGGAAACCGTGGGCTGGTGGCCATATTGCATCATGGTCGATAGCGTTCGATCTGCACTAATAAGGACTAGACATGCAATCAATGTTGATATACTAGCTATGTTTAATGTTGACAACAGTTTATTAGTTACCAATACATGAACCAAGAGAATACAAGTACAGAAACTGATGTATTTGAAAAACAATTCGGCAACTATACGAAACTCTCAAAACTTATTATATGGGTTGACAGACTGCAGTTATAATAATAAATACAATAAATGTTATAAGTATGCAGTGTCGAGTCGAGTCGCGATTGACTGTGATCACCACTACAGGAAGACTACGTGCCAGTTAACCGATAACATCCCCCGTAAGTCAAATATCAGAAGGTAGTTGATGGCTGTAGTCGAGATGTATTTGTTGGCGACCTCGTGGTATCGAAAGAATACCGAGATCGTGCCGAAGGAATACAAGTGTGATTACTGAGCGTAACCGAATTCGTGCAAGGTCACAATCAACGGAAGGAATAATGTATATATTTTGGTACAGTTAAACAAACAAGTACAGAAAAGCAATCACTGGTACAATTGGTTATAATGATAATTGTTTCCATCAAACCAAACGCGTTCTCTTGGTAAAAGTAGGTCACTACAAGTATATGTAATTATTTCACAATACACACATGTATAGATGGTTATGAATAGAAATGCCTACTTACTGTTAATAAGTAGTATAAAAGCAAGTACAAAAAGTTGCTTGATTTGAAGTGAATAACATGTGAACAAAACGCCATACAATAGTCACTATAATCATTAGTCGTTCATCTCATTTGTTTGATCTGTTTTTATCTACCATAAGATTGTTAAGCATAGAAATGCCTACTAATTAATAATAAGTAGTACTATAAAAGCAAGTTGATTTGAACAAGATAAACATCATTTCATTTGATCCACATAACCAAAAACCAAATCATGATTAATCAAATCAGTCTATTCTTTGTATACAATAAAACAATTGACTGATATATGATACGATGTATTTGTTTGATTCACGTAGAATGATCGATCATAATTCATATCCCATAATACACGATTAGTGAATCCAGCCATTTGTTTACAATTTTGCATGACTAAACAAAATACTAAATAACGATATCTGAAAAGAAATTTTAAAGAAAAAAAGGGATCTGTAAGGTAACAGAAGGGGTCCTTGTGGATATTATAGTGTATTATAAATTGATAAGTCCTGGGTTCGAATCTCGTGAGGTGGGGTCGTCGATGAGCACTGTTGAGGAGTCGTACAATAGGACGAAATGGTCGTTCAGTACTTTCAGGTTTTTCATGGTGATATAGCTTTAATTGAAATATGATGTCAATTATTAAATTATCTACAAAAATCGCTTCTGATATTAATCAACCTATGCTCACTAATGACTAGATTCGAAAGGTATTTCATGGAATTCTAGTGAGAAGCAGTGATCAGTGGAGTTCAACCGAGTCTGTTGTGAGATAATAACTTATCGAAGACAGTGGTGAGTGTTTCGCTCAATTCCGTGGATTAGTTGATGTTAGAGATTAATATCTTTGGATGATAACCGATTTAGTGGTCTAGAGATTAAGCGTTCGCGCTAGAGACTGATAGGTCCTGGGTTCGAATCTCATGAGGTAGGATCGTGGATGAGCATTGTTGGGGAGTTCCACAATAGGACGACACATTTGTCCACTGCTTCCAGGTTTTCCATGGTGGTCTAGCTTCAATCGACTCATGATCTCAACTATTGAAAGAAAATTAATCATTTTACAATTGTTCATGTGAAAACGATCCATGGATGAACTTGAGGAAACTCTAAGAAGCTTAGAAAAAGCTGAAGATATTCCATCCAGTCATTATTTGAAAGAATGTTTCAGGATCTGTACGTGTAGCTTCCCTATTAGATAAATGCTAAGAACAATTGTATGTGAATTCGATTACTATAATGATGATTTCGCTTTTACTATAAACTATAGTATTTCTTTTCATTCATATACTGTCTTTTCATTTGCAACTTGGAGGTTTCTAGCAAACGAGTACTCAAGTTGTATGCAGTATATCAAGAATCTAAGCTCTAGATATAACAACTGACAACGGAGATGGGATTCGAACCTATGAGGGGGAAATCACAATGGTTAAGCAAGTAACCATTCTACATGAAATATCATTCTATAGCTATCAGTTTTGTAACCAGTAGTCAGTTCGATCAATTCGTTCTGTTCTTTGAGACAATTTTTATGTTTAGCTCACCCGTGAACACATTGAATTAATTAGTCTATTAAAGCTGGACCAACATGGAAAATCTGGAAGCACTGAATGGTCGTTTCGTCTTAGTATGTGTCTTCTCAGTAGTCTGCATCCACGATCCCACATGCGAGACTCGAACCTTCGGTCTATGTGGGCGAACACTAAACCACTAGGTCAGTGAGCCTACAATCAATGTAATGTCTAACTTCAATCAATCCACGATATTGCACCACCATCCACCATTGTCATCAGTGAATCACTGCCTCACACAGACCCGCTTGAACTCCACTAATCACGGCTTCTCACTACAACTCCAGGAAATACCTCATGAAGCCAATCACTAGTGAGCAAATGATGATTATTATCAGAATGGGCTTTTTGAGGATATTGTAGTAGTTTTTAATAGCTAGTTTTACAATTCTACAATTGAAAATGTATGCTATATGTTCTAGCTAAAGAGGAGACAACTTTCGAAAACCGAGAAGACTACCTTAAGAAGTTATTCATTCTATGATTTCGATGGAGTTTCGTTCTCTGAGCTGGATGGTTGAATCGTGGAGCTTTCATCGTTCATCATCAGCACAAACTTCAGGTAAAACTGAAGTGTTCAAATTTCTCCATAAATGATTCACAACTTATCCTGTAGATCTCGTTATAGATTTGTTCTTGTCAACCTTAAACTTCTTATTGTTTACTTCTTTGTTTCGGTTGTATCTTACATTGGTTTTACCAAACCATCCAGATCAGAGAACAAAACTCCATCTTAAATCATCCATCTGAGCTACAAATCTTCTCCACTATTTCAAGATTCTAAGATCAAATCACTGTCCCGCATAACATATACCACTAACTACACATGATATTGTTTGGTTTGTATCTCCCCATTGAGGTTTAGTACTGCAATTAATCAGTCTGTTATTGTCATATGTGCATAATGTGCGTATGCCTAGATATTACCTTAATTCACGAGCTATTTGTAATCAATGATGGATAGTGGTTAGCAGCGGAATCCAAGACGCGCGTTTCGTCCTCTTTGGGACTCGTCAGATGGATGTAAAACTACAACTACACAGTTGTAGAGAATAACCTTGGTTTTCCCTTTGTGTATGCTGAGGCCTACTGATGCAGAGACTGGTGCTACACTGGCTGTCTTCATCTGCACTTGTTCGTGTGTATGCGATAGGAAGTCTAGGTCATCTGCGAAGTCCAGATCGTCTAATTGGTTCTGAGCTGTCCATTGTATTCCGTGTTTTCCTTCAGATGTCGAGGTCTTCATAATCCAGTCGACCACCAGAAGAAAGAGGAAGGGAGAGAGTAAACAGCCTTGTCTGACTCCGGTCCTTACTTGAAATGCATCTGTCAGCTGTCCTCCATGCACTACTTTGCACTGTAGTCCGTCGTATGAGTTCCGGATAGTATTGACAATCTTGTCAGGAGCTCCGTAGTGTCGAATAAGTTTCCATAATTTCTTCCTATCTACACTGTCAAATGCCTTTTCATAATCAATGAACTTGATGTATAGTGACGAGTTCCACTCAACTGATTGTTCGACGATGATCCGTAGTGTTGCAATTTGGTCTTTGCACGACCGGAATCCAACTTGTTAATCTCGAAGTTGGGCGTCTACTGCATCTTTCAACCGGTTCAGCAACACTCGACTGAAGACCTTCCCTGGTATTGACAGTAGTGTAATGCCTCTGTGGTTTTCACATTTGCTGAGATCTCCTTTCTTTGGAATCTTGACGAGGTGTCCTTCTTTCTAGTCCATCTATCAAGAACGATTTCAGCAGGTGAAGGCGTTTATTGATGATATCCAATTTTCTGATATATGATATCATTCATATATTATTGAAAAGTAAGTAAGATAAATGAAGACTATCATATCATCATTAATAAAGTAAAGATTATCATCAAACTGACCGTTCTTCTCCATGTGCTTTGAGCATTGCTTTAATTTCATTTGCTAATGAAATACATAATCGATTAGCTTTAAAACGTTCATAAGTTGATGGAAGTGATTCAATACGTGATTGAACTAGTTGTTCTATTCTAGGTTTTACATTACTAACATTGAATATTTCTTTTGGGCCTAATTGAAATGTTGGTAGATAATTGATTAAATTGTATGATGCTGGACTGTAAGAGGCTAAAGAAATCGATATCAAATAAGAATCAGTCAGTCAGTCAACTACAACATAGAATCAGGCATATATATATACATCGGTACAAGTTGCCATTCCTCATTAGCACAACAACATGAACACCGGATTCATAGAAGTAGTTCATTCAATGGTGGTAATATATAAAAGAAGGATTGAATATAAGGATATAGTACAAGAAGAACGAATAAGTTGGTAGAAAGAAAGATATGAAGCGATTTTAATCTCGTAGTTTAAGGGAAGACAGAGAATGTATACACCGACGCCATTGTGATCGATTATGAGTCATGTCACCCAGAGTCTCTAACCATTAGTTACGATAGTCAGGCGGACTCCAACCAAATATTCTGCATTTTTCACCATGGCTCAGACTAAAAGGTGGTGACTTCAGTGACTGATACCACATTTAGACTTGGATCTAAAACCTTTCATTTGAAATAAAAACGTTTCATCTACTGAGTTCAGATAGTTACTAGCTCGTTTATTACGTATGAATTTTATTCATGTTCCTCTTAGATTGGTCATTCTGTGATCGATAATCAGTTTTCATTAACAGTGTCAAACTGCTAGGTTTGAAGCTATCACGACTTTACTTAATCTGAGAATGAGAACAAGACCCGGTGACCAAAGACCAGTAAGCTAGTTATTAATGCGTCCCAGCCCCGCTAGCTAGAGGGAGAATCCAAGCTTGGAATGGTAAGTACATTCTGCAAAACAGCCAGAAACGAGCGATCCCTACAAACACAATTCAAAACGTTTATATACCGTGCAAAACCGTCCTTCGGAGAGTTACCAAATAGCATACTAAAAGACGCAACGGACCAATAGCATTTAAGATATGTCCCAGTGCGTAATACAACATGAAGATAACAAGAGCGCCTTCGGCACGAAAATAAAGAAATTCAAATTTTCTAAATAAAATTACAAAATTAGATCCTTTCCCAAGTGAGTTATGGGGATCTAACGTCCCCAACACAAACATCACTAACCCATGAATGTGTATTACTCTTTAGTGATCAATCAAATATTTCATAGTAACATACGCAGTAACTAATCCATCATTGGTAACATTTACAACTAAGAATATGATAGAGATATTTATCGACAGCGGGTATCAATTTAGTTGACTTTACATTTATAATCCACCATTAGAATGAACCAAACATCATTGTTGATCGCTAGACAGATCTAACAACCTGGGTGAAAGGAAGGAATACTGACATCCAGATATGTTTAGGGAAATGAATTCGACACTGACCGTAAACAATTGTCGTATAGTGTATACTGACTGTTTAGGATAAGAAGATATAGTCGCCATTTAACATAATTATACATTAGGTTATTTATTTTAGAGTTGACAATGTTGGTCAATTCTATTATAAATGCAGATTGAAATAACTTACATAGTCTACTGAATGTACTCAGACGTCTTTGATGTTTCTCATCAGCCAATGTTGATAGAAATTTCCGTGTGATCCGTTTAGCAGCCAGAATACCTAATAGTGACAATGGTGGTCGACTAGTGTTTGTCAAAGATGTCAGAGAGGATGCTGCTGCTGATGATGATGATTGAATGTTTTGACTGATCTTCCTACTAGTGATAACACTTGTTGGATGATCAACTTCTCGAAAAGTCAATATTTTATTTGTTTCTACTGCTGATGTTGGACCATTGACAGAAGTGTTGAAACAGGATAATGGTGAACGATTGGGACAACTGGCTGGAGTTTGTGGTTGAGATTGTGCAGTGACTGTGTGAATAAGAAGAAAGTAAATTCATTCGACATTTGACAATATAGAACAGTTTCAATGTACTACTACTACTGCTACTACTACTACTGATTTCGATATAAATAGTGTGAATGAATCGTGTGAATGTGAACAGAATTGGTTCATTTTGATTTGGTGAGGAATATATTTCGTTTAATGAAACGAATCGTTTGACCGAATGGATGTCCGATCACAACGACATTCATTCCTTTCATTTGATTCTATTGGTTTACAATTCGACTTGTATGAATCACTGTCATGTGGATATACGATTCACATCAGTCCCACAGATCGTTGGTAAATTTACACAAACATGTGACTTACTTCCATTACGATATGTAATTCTGTCATTTATCAATATTCGATCAACATACAATCTCAACTCAATATGGTGAAGTGTTTACAAGTGAATTACAGACAAACATTCAAGATTCTTCTTCTGTAGCTGAGCAACATTTGGAAGCTTCATATGATCATGCAATTACATCCTATCTCGGTTGTTCTCTCTCTCTCTCTCACACACACAGCGCACACTTATATCCTTTTTCACTTTAACTAACCACATATGAAGTTACTAGATTCAACACAGTTTAATTCGGAACCATCAATGAATGGATGAATCTGCACACAATTACATCATCGTTGAATTTCATGTTCCACAGAGTATTACGATTACTGTAACCAATTTTGTTGAAACTACCCTTGAATCAAATGATTCATTATGTTGTATCTGGTTGTTGTATGAAGTCACTTCCATCAAGTTGATTAATACAGAATTTCATCTGTAATTGTGATCGTTGATACATGATAGATTGTAAGAAGATCAATCGAAGGCGACAAGATGAAAGGGATGTATGTTGTTCTGTTCAGATAGTTCCAACCTACTTGATTATCAGTTAATATGACGTGTGTATTGTATCATGCACAGTTTTTGACAAATCACTTTATTCTCTCTCTGTCTCATATCGACATGTAGTTGTAATGATGCATCAATTTACACACAGTGACATGTACACATTTTTGAACGTATAGTTTACTGGTGATGTTTCTTCATGAGAATGATGGAAATGAATATTGTGACAGGGGAATATCAACGCGGCGAAAATGATATCACACCTTCTCATTTGTGATGACATGTGAAGTAGTCGGATAACTTTTCGGAATACTATGACATTGGTATTTATTCATGATTCGTCATTATAAACTCCTCTGTTTATTGATTATCTGTATATGTTGTGTGATTACGGTAAACCTTGTTCTATATCATGTGAATTGAATTATTATCAACATGGGATTATGGAGATCGAATCTCGCGAGCGAATTCGTCGATACTCACTGCTGATGAGTCCTACAATAGGATGAAATGTCCTTCCAGCACTTTGGGGTTTTCAGTGATGGTCTGACATCAATCGGTTCATGATCTTAATCAAAAACTGAATTATATTTGTTCGGATCATTTCTTAAGATCACCAATATGTTATACACTATGATTCCCTTTAGACATGCATAAACATGTATATTATTTCAGCTCATATTGATAGATATAATCTAGTGTCTCCTTCAAATAATTCTGTCCTACATTTGATCAACTGAAACATGAATTTTCAGTCTTTACAATTACACATTGTTCTTATTGATTGATATTACGTCATCAAAATAACCTTATATTACAATCCGAGTGCCATTTTGTGAATATTATGGTAATTTAATAGTTAAATTCATGAGTCGACTGAAGCTAGATCACTTTAGAGGCTAAGCGTTGGCACACGAGACTGGGTTCGAATCTCCCGACGTGGGATCGTGAATGTAGACTGTTGACAAGTCCCATAGTGGGACAAAACGGTCATCCAATACTTTCAGGGTTAAGATGGTGGTTGGAGATAGTCAATAGGAAACTCTGAACATAGTTTTTGTGCTACTTGTAATCTTGAGAGAACTAATACTCCCTGATGGATTCAATCCCGTGTCACCCAGCTTCACAGTCAGAGATATTACCACTAAGCTATCTGGCCTGTGATCGACCTCCTGTATGACTGAGATGTAATCACAATTAATTTATCACTGGATGGTGATCAATGTTATGTGTATCAAGTCCTTCTTATTGCAAATCGAATGCTATTAACCATCATCTTATCCCAACATAGTGCACGCAGTGTCGAGTCGCCTAGATTAGTAACCACATTGCAACTTAATCGATAGCATTCAATTTACACTAAGAAGGACTTTACACATATGACATTGATCACTCACTACCTAGTAATCAATCAATTGTGACTTTCAGGGCTAATCCGTGTCGGGTAGAGACAGGTATCTACCTTAGTACAATGGAAGTTGGTCGCGCAATTTCGTGGATTGGTTGATGTTAGACACTAACACCATTGGATGCCGGCTCAGTGGTCTAATGGTTAATTGCTCAGGTGCGAAGCCAGTAGATCCTGGGTTCGAATCCCGCGGGGCGCGGGATCGTGGATGCGCACTGCTGAGGAGTCCCATATTAGGACGAAACGGCCGTCCAGTGCTTCCAGGTATCCAACGGTGGTCTAACATCAGTTGACTCATGATCTCAACCAAAAACTTAACAATCTCCACAACCCCCATACTGATACTTTCCATAATAGTCTAACTTCAATTGATTGACGATTTCAACTATTTCAATAATATAACAATATGATATAATAACTTACTTGAATGCTTTATCAATGATAATCTTTTAACACCTTTAGCTTTTGATAATATATCTAATCTAGAATTTCTTTCTTGATTCATTACATCATTTGTATTGGTATCTTTTATAGTGGATTCTTCATTGACTGTTTCTAATTCATTTGATTTTGAATTTAGTTTCGATGGTGATAGATTCATTTTGTAACTATTTTATTCTATAGAAAGAAATAATGATGATAATAAATCAATATTTTTATGTCATTAGTTAAATAGGTGAGGGGGGGATTTGTAAAGATTATAGAATGTTTATTGTTTAGATCACTAGTTTCAATTAACGATTAAAGTTTAATCATTAGATGGTGATTGTAGATAGTCAACAGGAAACCCTAGACCTGGGTTTTATGCTATTTGGCACTCGTCAGCAAGGAGTACCTGTAATCTTGAAGCAACTTAGTCGATGGCATTCGATTTGCAATAAGAAGGACTTGACACACATAACATTGATCACCACACAGTGATCAATTAATTGTGATTACATCTCAGTCTTATAGGAGGTCGATCACAGCCCCGATATCCTAGTGGTAATATCTCTGACTAAGAAGCTGGGTGACACGAGATCGAATCCGCCAGGGAGCACCAGTTCCCTCAAGATTACAGGTACACCTTGCTGACGAGAGCCAAGTAGCACGAAACTCGGGTCCAGGGTTTCCAGTTGATTAGCTCCAACTACCGTCTAATCTCAATATAGTGCACGCAATGTCGAGTCACCTAGACTAGTGGCGACATTGCAACGTGGTCAATAGCATTCGATTTGCACTAAGAAGGACTTGACACACATAACTTTCTTCCAACCATCTCCAACACCGGTTAGCATTGCAAGTCGTGGTAATCGGAGTTCAGTTATACGTAACACGTGGCCATCTTAACAGATGAATATTTACAACCTCATCAACTGATTTACCATCATTCCCTAATACTCTACGTCTAACCTCACTATTACATACTCGGTGATCCCAGCAGATGCCAGAAATATTTTTAAGGCATCTGTGGTCGAATACTAGCAGCCTACGAGTATCTTTTACTCTTAATGGCTATGTTTCGAAGCCGTAATGTATAACAGAACGAACTGCCGCGCAGTATACTCGTCCTTTTATTGATAGATGGATATCTCGCCTTCACCACAGGCGATGCAATTTGGCCAAAACCAAACGAGCTTTTCGAATCCGTGCTGAGATTTCTTCAGAAACCAACCCATGAGGGTTGATCAGACTTCCAAGATAAGTGAAGTTGTCGACGTGCTTGACTACTTCACTCCCTATCCTTAGTTCAGGTGTTAACGCAGGCCAGTCCTGAAGGAACAACTTGCATTTAGAGGGAGAGAAGCGCATTCCAAACATTCTGGCATTGTTGCTCAGTGCTATCAAAAGACTGCATTTTATCAGCGTCTTCACCAAACAGGACTATATCATTTTCAGTAAGACATGAACTATTAGAATTGCTTTATAACTGACTGACAACTTGTTTGGTTTATAATTACATTGTTTGTACATTTATTTTAATTGTCCTATTCTGTTCATTAACCTTATAGTTCTTTATCTAATCTACTAAACGATTTGATCAACTTCCATATGTCTATTGATTGCTGAGTTACTTGAATCTCAGGATTCTAGAAAATTCTTGAATTTTCTTCAAGTTTTCTCACCCTACTGCTTCAATTCATTAGCCTTACTGCCGACATCCAAATCGCAGAGCACAACTCCTACAAAATCAATTGAAACTCTCGTAAAAAGCACTATATTTTGTAACTCAGTAGGTGAAGACAGTCGACTGATTGCTACTTGGCACTCATCAGGAAAGTGTACCAACAACCTTAGCGTAACCAATATCTCTGAGTGAATATGATCCCGCGCTGTCGAATACCATAGCTCGAGAAGCTGCCACTGGGCTATCCGAACAGCTGTTGATCAATTGTTCGACCAAGATGTATTAAAGCTGATCGATTACTGAATGATGATAAATGACGTATCTGTCAAGTACTTCTTAATGATGATCAAATTCTGTCAATCAAATTACACTGCAATCACATACATTGTACTGAGATGTTAGATGGTCGTTAGACGTAGTCAAAAGACTAGTGGCCAACTTTCAAATTAATCGATAAGATTCGATCCTTCCTAAGAAGTACCAGACAGACATGACGTTTATCACTATTCTAAGATCGATCAATTGGAAGATCCCTTTTACTTTTTATCCTAACTAACTTAATATGAAAATAATGTTGAATCAATTGATTTCAACGATCAGAATAATTAGAATGTAAAAGATTCACATTATCTGATAATTGATTGAAATTGCACAACAAATTCGTCCTAGTACAGGACTCCCTAACAGTGCTCATCCATGATCCCACAGGTGGGACTCGGACCCAAGACCTCCCGTCTCATTAGAGAATGCTTAACCGGCATTCAATAGTGCTAATGTCTAACCTCAACCAATCTATGATATTGCGCCATCGTCCACCATTGTCTTCAGTGAGTAACCGCCTCACAACAGACACGGTCGAACTTCACTGGTAACGTTTTTTTACTACAACTCCAGGAAATATCTCATGAATCCAATCACTAGTGAGTGCATGATGAGGTGTTTTCGGAGATTATAATAACTTTAATAGTTAAAATCATGAGTCCATCTAAGCTAGATACCCATTGAAAACCTGGAAGTACTGTACGGAAGTTTGGTTGCAGTATGAGACTCCTGAACAGTGATCGAACACTTAACCTCTAGACCACTGAGTCGGCATCCGACAATGTTAATGTCTAACTTTAATCGATCCATGATGTTGCACAATCATTCATTCAATGTCTGAGATAGATACTTATCTCTACCTGACACAGATTGAACTCCATTGGTCATGGCTTCTCACTAGAACTCTAGGAAATCTAGTTTGACGCTAATCACCAGGTACTTAAGAGGGGGGGTTAGGTATAACGATGAAATCTAGAAAGAAACCTCTTTGTACAGTTTACCATTTATCTAATAAATAGAGAATATACTACTTAATCAAATTGTAGTGCATTTTAAAACGTAATGGCTTAAAAACAACAAAAACTACTTACGTAATTAATCAATAAGGATAATTTGTTGAATGAACATTGATTACATGAATGATGTATGAATATTCAAAATATCATTTTTATAAGATTTTACATGTTGTAACCATGGCAACAATCTCTAATATGTCATGTAGTCAAGGTTACAGTTTAGTGTGGTTTTTTCAATGTGACATTGATTTGTATAAATGTATGTGTAGATTACAATGTGGAACAAAAAATCAAACACCAATGGGAGATACAATCAAAACAAAGAAGTAAACAATGACAAGTTTAAGGTGAACAAGAACCAATCAACATCAAGGTGTTTAGGACAAGCTGTGAAACACATATGGAGAAATTCGAACACATGACTTCTATCTGAAGGCTGTGCTGCTGCTGATGATGTTACTCGGAAAAACGATGTAAGCTCCGCGACCAAACCATCCAGCTTAGAGAACAAAAGTCCATCAAGATTTCAATGTGTTTACACTATGGGTTTATCTCATGAATCGGGCTATAATTCGTAAGAAATGTTTAGGATTTACAGGTGAATTCTTCATTGTGATATGTGAAATTAAAACAAACCCCCTTATACCATGAATTGATACGATGACTGATGGCTTTGCTTCTTTGGTGACTAATTTATTAGTCGACTGTTATTATTTATTTATTTATTTATTTAAACACATAAATCTTGGTACTAGGAGGCAGCAAATAGATATGTGTTACATGAATCATTCGATTTTTGTGTAGGCTGGGATACTACCCAGGTGCCCAAACCAAGACAGGTGGTTTTCTAAGGGGGCCGAACCCGGTATCTTTGACTTAAAGGTCTGATCCACAATGCAGTGTAGTAACGTAAGGAAATGCAGTTCCACGATAGCTGGTGATCAATAATAGAGTTATACGTCGTTTGTTCAATCAGGATACTGGAACCCATGTGCACCATTAGTTTGGAGTCAGAGTTTTCCAACTCCCTTAAGTGAACCCTACGTTTCCACGAACCAGGTCAAAGCGCAGGATATTCGCTTTTCGTCCTCGCAATTTTGTAAACATCACCCTCACCGCGGGAAGGTAGTGGGTAGGAATTTCCTGGTAGAGGCTGTATACGCGTGGCCATGTGAGAGTATTTGGAGAGGCAGAGCTGACTCTCCCCACTCTCAGCCGTACCAAGATATTTAGAGGCGAATATAGTTCTACAAGATATTTTGATTAGTATCAGAAGACAATGGTGGATATGTCGCTCAATTTTGGCGGATCATTTGAAGTTAGGCATTAACACCGTTGGATGCTGGACGACTCAATAGTCTAGAGGTTAAGGGCTCGCACGCGAGACTGATAAATCCTGTGTTCAAATCTCGTGAGACGGAATCGTGCATACGTACTGCTGGAGAGTTCCACAATAGCAGGAAACAACCGTCCAGTACTTCGGCGTTTTTTATATTGGTCTAGCTTCAATCGATTCATGATCTCAACTATTGAAAAATTTCAATTAGACAAATTTAATATCATAATTGACGTGAAGAAATTTCGCTTACAAATATAAATGAAGTTAAAAGTCACATAGTTTGAATCAGTTATCAACCTGATAAATTTAAACTATCGACCATTCTATAATTTAGAATATTTACATCAAACTTGTCCATCGAATTTTTAAGCTAACTGAAGTACATAATTCACTTGGTATTATTTGGCTTGTATCTTCCCATTTAGGTTTAAGACTGCAGTTGATCAGTCTGTTATCGGCATATGTGCATACTGTGCATATGCTTCGATACGGCCTTAATTCATAAGCTTTTTGTAAGCAATGATGGATAGTGGCTAGCAGTGGAATCTAGGATGCGCGTTTCGTCCTATTTGGGACACGTCAGCTGAGATGCAGGTAATCCTAGAAATCATCAACGATTTACTGACATACAAATCGTTTGATCAGTTATTAATTGTATAGTTAATGAGTAATTAGGAATGAATTTCGTGTTTAAAATCAGTAGATTTTAGTAATCAGTAACCGTTCATTTCGAACGCTATTGTGTTACAGTAGATGAGGGAATAACGCGATAGTGTTTGAAGCGAACGGTACTGGGATCGAGTCCTGGAGTGAACACAACTCTGAGATGCAGGTACATCCAGTTGATGAGTCCTAAATAGGACGAAACTCGATCCTTAGATTCCACTGCTCACCACAATCTATCTTTACTTATAATGTTTGTAACTTAAGGCTATACTGAGGTAGTCTGCACAAGATGCACATATCCCAATAAGAGACTGAATAATCCCAGTCCTAAACAACAATGAGAAGATACAAAGAAACAATACCAAGTGAATTAAGTTTGAGAAGAGTTTGAGAAACAAAACGTATTAATTTGTAATCTCAACACGCAACAAATAACTCGTCTCTTATGGTAGACGTTCATTTTAAGTAGATTATAATAAAGTCATAAGCATTTTGACGAAACTTTGGGTAATATCTCACAGTAGAATTCAAAGTGTACGTCTCATCTTATATGTAACTGATCAGCTGAATATGCTTTGAAGTTCATATGGGGACTCGTGCTCAGTGCCATTCATTTTGTATGTACAAAGTATTATTAAGAGGTGTTCTAAGTTCCAGACAGTTACATTTTGACTTTGTTAATTATCAATACCCTATTCATCACATATCTATAAATAGTAAGTTGCCCATTATCAAATTGAGTTAATACGCTTACCTCCTACGGTCAGCCTATTGATTTTGTTTATCTAACTTTCTGTTTAGGATAAACGACTATATAATAGATACCTATGCAAAATTCATTCTTATATTTAGCTTATTTTGTTCTTTCATGTGAACTAAGTTGATCAGAATATACGAGTGTTAGCAGTATGTATATTTTGTTGACATTATAGTGACCTACTTTTACCAAGAGAACGCGACTGATTTAATGAAAACAATCATTATTATAACCAATTGTACCACTGATTGTTTTACTGTGCTCGTTTGTTTAATTGTGCTAAAGACAGCCATATCACTACTCCATTATCCTTCGATTGATTATAACCTTGCACGAATTCGGTTACACTCAGTAACCACACTCGTACCATGTAAATCTCAATACATAGTGCCCGCAGTGTCGAGTCACCTAGACTGGTGGCCACATTGCAACATGATCGATAGCATTCGATCTGCACTAATAAGGACTAGACAAACATGACATTGATCACCACCCAGTGATCAATCACTTGTGACACTTGTACTCCTTTGGCACGATCTCGGTATTCTTTCAATACCACGAAATCACCAACAAAAACATCTCGACTACAGCCATCAACTGCCTTCTGATATTTGGCTTACGAGGGATTTTATCGGTTAACTGGCACGTAGTCTTCTTGTTGTGGTGTTCATAGTCAGCCGCGACTCGACACCACGCTACAACATCAAATCGAATTAAAGTCAGATTAACGAATCATTTACTATTTACTTTTACAAAGGGAATGAGTTTTCTTTCATCTGTGTTTAAATCTTTTCACTTAAGGCCCAAAAAGAAAGAAGAGGACGATCATAGAACACACGACGACAAGAAATCGAGATAGACATTAGAAGAATGAATAACAATTGGATAGAACTAGAAACGAAGGCTTAGGACAGAGTGAGTTGGAGAATGGTGCTCGGCGGCCTATGCTTCATTTTGTAGTAACATGCGTAAGCAAATAAGAAAGTAAGTCAAATCTTCTTATTTTTAATGCTAAAAACAAGTCAAACGCTATATGAACTCATTGATTAAGTAGATAACAAGTTAAACATTTAAGACGAAACACAGTAGATTCGAGTCCTTGAATGAAAATCAACAAGTATCTAAGTAAATCTAAACCGATAAATTTCATAAAGAATAAGAAACACGATCTGGATCATGTAAGTGTTGTTTAGGCGAAACTATAATTCATGGACGATCTTGAACGAATCTCGGATGACTTTGAAAAAGATTAACCTATCAGAAAACAGTCAATATAAAGTAAAAATATATGATACAAAATCAAAGAATTAAAGTGGATACATTTCTTGTACGTGGTTCAAAAACTTGTCAAAGTTAGAAAGCGGTTCACAGGTTCTAAAATCATAGTATATACAATAGAGGATATCATCCATGTGGCTCCATCATAGTTGGCCTCCGAAGCCATGATAAGGTCGCAAAAACTATTTCAGACTCGACCATATAGCTTCAATATTGTTAGTGTGTACTCCGGTTTGTTTGATCCACAAAATGCCACTTATGGATAACAACAAGATTCATATCAACAAGTCCATGCAACCACACTCTCCAATCATCCTTATATATTGTAGTACCTGTCTACAATCAGTGTTACTGGTACTTTTATTATCCGGTTCGCAATTTGACTTAGTCTCAATCTGGATCGAGCAAATAAACTCTATTCTATCAGACTTCTTCCTTCAAAACATACTACATTGAAAGATAACATCATCACGTTAGTTTGTACAAGGTCCACAAGTCATTTAATTACCACAATCACAAATAAAGGAACTTCTTAATAATCCATTTGGTTCTTGTCACTGAATGATCACATTTTATTTCTTCTAAAATCCACTATGAACCGATCGTACATGAACATCAAGTCCTGAAATTGGCGCCATGACCTTGAAATCCTTCAAAAACCCTTCTGATTGGCTTATTCATAAATTTCTAATCTCAACTCGATTTTAAATCATTTTTGAAAATACCTATTCAATATAAAATATTCCAATATGGTTTATGTTAGTGAGTGTTTTTCTTTGAAAAAAAAACTAATAGAAGAAGAAAATTGTCTAGTTTATCATACTTTACAATGTAGAATCTTTTTTTCTTTATTTTTTCATTCCAATTACTCATACAAACTTACAATCAGTGTCACTCTCAACTAGCAATCAACCAGTCATTAGAAAATGTAGTGAATTTTTTTGTGGTTTTTTTTGGGTTTCGATTCTCTATAACAACTATCTTATCATTTTTCGCATCATTTATGTAGGTATTTAGTTCCGTCGTACTTTAATTGTTTTTTCAAATGTATCGAATCTTAATGAGACAAATCACTTATCATATGATTTGTAATTATACACTGCACACTGAACAATTTCATCGATTTACATTACGCACAAAGAAACATCATCATTATCATTATTAGATTCATTTGTATGATTATAATTGTGATTGTGCTAGTGAATTCATTATTTCAGATAGTTTTGTTTAAATTGGATCATACTTTTTTTTCTTCCTTTCTTTAGCAAACTAATTAAATAGGACTAATCTGATGTTTCCCCTTGTTATCATTTTGTTTGTTCTTTTCGAAGGAATAAATGGAGGTGGAAGTAAGTTATACTGTATCATGTAATTGTTCATGATTATTATTACATATGAAATCATAATTGAAATATATTTTACCAATGTAAATTGAATGTAATGTGTGTGTAAGCATTTGCTACACTGGAAGAGTAGTTGTTGTTTATGACATGTAATTTCAATCGTTGAGATCATGAGTCGATTGAAACTAGACTAACATGGAAAACCTGGAAGCATTGGACGGCTTTTTTGTCCTAGTATGAGACTCCTCAGCAGTACGCATCCGAAATCCAGTCTCATGAGATTCAAACACAGGACCTATCGGTCTAGCGTGTGAACGCTTAACCTCTTCATCATTGAGCTGGACGGTATCCAATGGTTCTACTGTCTAACTTCAACTAATTCAAGAAGTTGAGCAACACACCCACCATCGATTTCTGATACGAATAGAAAGGGGATTTGTAATGCCTTGGATACAAACCAATGGTGTAGATGGGCTACAGGATCCTGAGAGATCGATTGGAGTATGAACTAGTTATTGGTGACCGGCTACTATGGGAGTGCATCTCCTGACGTTGCTCCACTGCCCTGTGGATTAGACCTTTAGGTCAAAAGCTTGGTGTGTGGCCTCCTAATAAAACCACCCGTTTCATTTTGGGCACCCGATTAGTATCCCAGCTCTCACACAAATCAAGTGAGTTTGGTGTGGCGCATATGTATTTGATGGTTTCTTGTACTAATATTTATGTGTTTAAAAATATAAAATAAATATAAAGGGTAGTTGTAAAGATTATTGACCTTAGATTGATATTATGAATGAATCAACGTTAGAGCAACATTGAAAACCTGCATGCATTGTGCCGCCGTTTCATTCTAGTAATATAGGACTCCTCTAACAGTACACGTCCACCGTTCAGCACACAGGATCCGAACCCATGACCTTTGGTCTCGTACGTGAACTCTGAATCTCTAGACCACTGAGCCAGTATTGTTTAATCTGATACCAGCAAGCTATAAACTAAAACGTTTAGTTGATTATCTATCCTTAACTTTCAAGAAGAACATGTCAAATGACTGTGTGAAATTGCATCACGTTGATATTGCCTGTATGAAAAGTAACCATTATGATATTTTGTGAAATATTATTGGCAAGACTATAATTTATGGACGGACCAATCAGCTTTAGGAAAACAAGTCTTAGTTATTTGCGCGAAATTCATTCACTCATTTGGTCAATTAGCGTCTTAGCATTTTAGCTGATATCAATTCGCGATGAAAACTATAGATCTAATGACTAAAACTAACCATCAACTACGAATCATAATCCTTATTCTACAAACTGATTTATAACAGTCATTTAGCCCTAGTAAATAGGTATACACTCTCAAAGTCAATTGGGCGTCACCCAAAGGTCGTCCATAAATTATAGTCTTACCATACTCATCTGTTACACTTCTTGGTAGATGGCCTATCCGTATGTTATTTTGTTTTGGAAGTTTAATACTAACAGTCTCCAAAGACTGGATCATTGAGTTTTCTTTCAAAGTTACCACCGTTTGTCTTTGTACACACCATTTAAACGATTACCGGCGGATTGGAAAATGCTGACATGTCAAAATTATTTTGTCATGTAATAAGTAGCAAATAATTTAAAATAGTTTAGTATAATTTATTATCAGTAGTTGAGACCATGAGTCGATTGAACGTAGACCATCATTGAAAGCTTGGAAGCACTAGACGGCCGCTGCATCCTATTGTAGGACTTTTCAGCAGTGCACATCCACGATCCCGCGAAAGACTGATAGGTCCTGAGTTCAAATCCCACGAGGCGGGGTCGTGGATACGCACTGTTGAGGAGTCCCATACTGAGACAAAACGGCCTTCCACCGCTTCTAGGTTTTCCATGGTAGCATAGCTTCAATTGACTCATGAATTTAACTATTAAATTACTATAATATCTACAAAACTCCTATCTGAGTTTACCATAACTACGAATTACATATGATGGTCCCATGTCATTCTTGATAGACTAAATGAATTAGAAGTAGACAGAGAATGATGAAATATCACTAATTGGTTGAGATTTGTAATGTAGACGTGTGAAGGCTGATTCAATGTTGGAAGTCTAACTTTTACCAATGAAATGTAAAGATAAGATTTATTCAAAGCACAAATGGATGCTACTGAAATTCCTTTTCATCGACTGTAAGATCATTCATCAAGTGGAATGTATTTTACGTACAGTAACTTGAAGTGAAACGGTCTTGACTCTTATTTTATACTTTAAATGATACAGACATTAATATTTACTTTAAATTTATTTGTATTTACAGAAGCACCAAGTAAGTCAACTTCTATGTGTCTGTATATCATCAATTTATTGTTATTCTTAATTACTTAGAAACAGTAATTTGACCTCAGTTGGAATACAAATAAAAACCATCCAGTTCTGGGTAGTGGTTAAATCTTAATATGTATCTCCTAAGCAATAAACATTCACAACTTTTTTAATGGGGCCCTTCCCTCTGATATCAATTAGACCGCATGGTGTTGTCGATAGGCTCACCATTTTAGTGGCACGGGATATGACTCCAGTGAGATCGATTCTGATTGCTGTTGAGATATACATATCGTCAATCCTCGTATATTATCATCGAATTAACTCGCATTAGTCAATAACAAAATTAAATAAGTCAAATAAAAGAATGGATTATTGATTGTGTATATTTCATGCACACATTGATTTGAACAGGCAGTCGAGGAATGAAACGAAAAGAAGAGGGCGAAGCGAAATGACGCGAGGTGGAGAGTGCATGTGAGCCAACTCCATTTAACCGAGCGTTATTCAATATCTACGGTCAAACAAAAATAAGTTACTGACATATGATGAATGCGTTGAGAAGAGCACACACATAAGCGCTCGTATAAAAGCAGTCAAGATTGATAAGCGAATAATTAACAAGGTCAAAATGTGACTCAAGTAGAATGAATAGATTGGCCTATACAGAAGCTAGAATAAGGTAATATGGGCTTAACATATCAACTGACACTACAATCTTAAGATATCATGACGAACAAATGACCATTGAAACCATTCAATTAGACAGTAACGGAAAACATTTCCAAAATACAATCAATTCACTACTTACCGGCACATTTATGCCGAATGTCTACGTAAACTTCAAATTCATCTAGGTGATTTCTAAATAAAACATCAAGAACTTATCTCAAATTCGGTCATAAACGAGGTGAATGTTGTAGTTGAGATGAAAGTGCTTTACGAATATGATAATAATCTGTAAGTAGCACCTATCATCAACTGGTGTTTATACATTTCCGGGGGTTAAACTATCACTCATCCAAGTGAAATGGTTATCAAGAAGATACATAGAATCATTTCTCACAACGGAATGAGTAGAGTTATATTGTTATGTTGAAGAATGCTGGTCGGCGGCTTATACTCCTTTGAGAGCAACAGGCGTAAGTAAGGAAGTAATTATTCAGTTATTATTAAGGAATCATTATACAAGCACATTGAAAACAAATCCTCAATAAAGATACAAACACATAGACACGTTTGAGAGTAATACGCTTGCCAATAAAGACAATTATCATTACAGTTTTAACAATAATACAAAATGCATAATTAATCATCATGTGATGTGGACTACTTATATACATAAATATGAGTAGTATGCAGTAGAAAACGAAAGTGGAATGTTCACCAAACGAAAATTAAATTAATGAGAAATAGAAAGAAAACAGAAATCAATTGGATAAACAACAGGATTGAAAGTATCATGAACTATGTAAAAGACAATTGAGAGAAGATGGATAGATGATGTATTTAATCTATGATTTTCATCCTTAACAAACTCACAGTGAGGTTGTCCGCACAACAATTCATCTGTGATCAATATATAATCAATCATAATTACGTAATAAGTGGAGATAATGACAGTACAGATTTCGGTGAGACAATAATACATGGACGAGCCTATCAGATTCGTTTGAGAGATTTCAAGGTCCCAGCGCCAACTTCAATACTTAATGCTAATATACGATCAGTTCATAGGGGATTTTATATAAAACATGATAATTAGGCAGCTATAACAAATAAAACGGCGAGACTATCATTTGTGGACGAATCAGTCAGGTATAAGATGATAGATCTCGGATTTTGGCGCGAAAGCCTTTCATCCATTTGACTAAAGAAATCTCTGGCATTATAGCTGATTCCAGTTCGTGATGAAAACCCCATATATAATTCCTAACTAGGGCAAATTATGAAAATTGTTGAGAACTGGATAATAAAAGCACCAGTAACACTGGATGCAGCCAGGTACTACAATATATACGGATGTTTGGAGAGTGTACAGACTCCTACATAAGCTTCGTTATGTGCATCGTGTCGTTATCCACAAGTAGCATTCTGTACACTCAACAACCGGAGTGTACATAAACAATATTGAAGCTATGTGGTCGAGGTTGAAAGAGTTTTTGAGACTTTATCATGACTCCAGATGCCGACTATTCTGTAGCAGTATGGATGATTTCCTCTACTGCATGCATTACGATTTTAGAACCTCTGAACCTTTTTCTAACGTTGACAAGTTGTTGAACCACGTATAAGAAGTGTATCCACTTTATTTCTTTGGTTTTGTATAACATATTTTTACTCTATACTGACTGTTTGCTGATTGTCTAATATTTCTCAAGGTCACACAAGATTCGTTCAAGGTTATCCATAAATTAGAGTCTCGCCATCGATCAATTCGCTAGATAGTCTTGTACAATATATAGATTGAGTAAAATGTTTTGCAGACTTTCCCTGACTTCGTAAGATTATATCGAGGAACTGATGTATGATCTCGTTGCTATGGCAACAAAGCTTGTAACCAAGACCATTCATTTTCTTTGTTTGTTATATGTTGGAATAAATTACTCTTCAATAATATATAGATACCCATGATGTCTGCTATAGGTATAATCTAATAGTAGTATGGGTATCAATAGAACTTCCAAACAGTTTCTGATATCAGTCTATATACTTTGTATGACTATATTCTAAAAGTAAGTTTTAAAACACTAATCAATATGTCTAATCATGATTGTTATATTGTAGTGCTCATCAGTATACCTAGAGGTAAGTACCTAATCATTCACTTTACACCCTACATTAACATACATATATGTGTATCTTTATATGTTACAATAGTGCTTACAAGGATTATGTTTTAAACTGTTACTATATGAAAACAAATACAATAAACTGTTGAAATGTATGTGGAATCATTTATGTAACTAAGAAGGATCATTATTGCAGAAAGAGGATCTAATACAGACATAAAGGTAACGATTGGCAAAGGAAGAGTCACATTCATACAACTGAAGAATACATGGAATTCAATATGAACGTCAACACTCTTCTACTATTGATGTTTAAAACTATAATTGATCAGTATTGAGTTCGAGCCCCAATGGGAACATCAAATTTGGAATGTAAGTCCATCCAGCTGACGAGTCCCATATAAGACGAAACGCATTTCACACATCTATCAGATAATAGAATTTTAAATTCCCATCGAAAATCTATCATAGATGAATTCAACACAATGGAATGAAAACAAACTGTTTGCATATTCCACTATTTAGTGCAAAAAGAATAGAATTTGATATGAATTTTTGATCATTACTTCAATGAATAAAATGAGAGTAATCCTGATTCTTCTAAATGAAGAAGAAGAAGACAGTTCTACTGTACGGAGCTGAAACTTGGGAAACTACAACAACCGCAATCAAGAAGGTACAAGTATTTATAAATAGCTGTCTACGCAACATACTCAACATCCATTGGCCGAATACAATCAGCAACAGCCTTCTCTGGGAGAGAACAAACCAGCTTCCAGCTGAAGAAGAAATTAGGAAAAGACAATGGAAATGGATAGGACATATATTACGCAAATCGTCAAACTGAATCACGAGGCAAGCCCTAACTTGGAATCTTGAAGGGGAGAGGAAAAGAGGAAGGCCAAAGAACACATTACGTTGGGAAATAGAATCAGATATGAAAAGGTTGAATAACAACCGGAAGGACTGGAAAGGATTGCCCAGGACAGGGTTGGATGGAGAATGCTGGTGAGTGGCCTATGCTCCTTCATGAGGTGTAACAGGCGTAAGTAAGTAAGTAAAATCCTGAATCTGTATTAGTTCAAGTCATCAACTATTACAAAAAAGCGAATGACTGAAATTCCATACTGAATACAATCGACTAATATTGTAATGAACGACAACACACAAGTAGAGACAATCGAATGTATTTGAACACACAAAATGTCAATCAATTGTCTCAAACTTCATTATCCCTTATTTCCACATCAATCCTTCACTGTTCTCGTTCTCTTTTCCTCGATTTTGTTAATCTTCCGCAACAAGACACTTCATTTTCGAATGATGTAGCATACTACTTATATCTGTCGACATCAGTAGTACACAGTACACTATTAGTATTATTAGTGCTATTACAACTACTGTAGTGAACGTGATCACATGTGGGGATAACCAAACGTACTTAAACATAAAGTGACAGAATCTCTTAGTAAAATCTGAGGACCATACAGTAAATATCAGTCAATCATCTCAGACTTGATTGTTCCTTCATCTCCACAGCAATCACCTTCTGCCTCCCTCCCCCCAGGTTTTTCACTTCCGAATAATGATACATACTACTACTACTACTTATATCTGTTGACATCAGTAGTACACACCAGAATATGTTCATAATTATATCAGGAATGAAATATCTCCGCATTTTATTTTATAATTAATCATTATTTTAAATATTAGTGAAATGAATAATTTTCTAATTGTTCATCAAATGATCTACATTAGAGTTTTTACCAAAAGAAACTATAACAGAGTAAGTTTCAATGAATCATTTTCATTATCTTTTCTACTTATGGTTAGCATGTTTTTAGCGAGTTAATTTTCTGAGGGATGGGGTTGCTAAGCTCATGCTCAACTCTTCTTCTTTATCCAGGTTTGGGACCGGTAGTAGCTTCCAGGAGGGCTCCAGGCAGTTAACATGATAGAACACAGATTATCAATGTGTTGAAATATTTTACTTATTAAAGAATATAGATACTACTTATTAGGATGAGATAGTGGCTGGAGGTAGTCGTCAGGAAATCCGGAACCAAAGTTTCGTGTTACTTGTCACTCGTTAGCAAAGGGTACCTGTAATCTTGGGGGTACTAATACTCATTGACGGATTTAATCTCGTGTCACGCAGCTTCACATTCAGAGACGTTACCACTTTTCTATTTGGGTTGCGACTGAACTCCTGTAAAACTGAAATGTATTTACAATTGATTGATCAGTTGGCGGTGATCAATGTCATGTGTGTCAAGTCTTTCTGAATGCAGATCGAATCCTAATGACCAATTTGCAAACCTAGGTCTTGAATTTCCTATCGACTACCTCGACATTATGCACGTAATGGTGAGTCACGTAGACTAGTAGCCACATTACAAATTGGCCGACAGGATACAGTCGGCACTAAGAAGAACCTGACAAACATGATATTGATCACCATTCAGTGATCAATTAATTGCAACTACTTCTTACATTATAGTATAGTCTATTTTTATAACTGGTGTAAGATGAACAGGGCTTCTTTTAAAATAGTTGAATTTATGAGTCAATTAAAGCTGGATGACCATGGAGAACCCGGAAGTACTAGACGGCTGTTTCGCTTCTAGGAACATCGCGTTCTCCATTTAGCTACTAAGTCCTGATAGTCACCTACTTGTGCAAGAGGGTGAAGTTTAAATTCACTTGATGTTGTTTTACTCGTATCTTCTCATTGTCATTTAGGACTGCAATTAATCAGTTTGTTATTGACATATATACATCCTATAAGGATTGCCTCGATCTAGTGTTGTCATAAGTTTTTAAGCAAAGATGAATAGTAGTTAGCTATGGGATCCAGTTTGACGCGCGTTTCGTCTTATCTTGGACTCGTCGGCTGGATGTACCTGCATCTCAGACTTGATGTTCACTCCGGGACCCGAACCCAGTACCGAAACGCATTTCCTGGATTCCACTGCTAGCCACTATCCATCTTTGCTTAATTTACAAGTATTATTTATATCAGACTAATAGTGGAAAAGTGATATATGATGAAGGAAACTAGTTATTCACGATCACGGAGAATGTAAAGGCTATTCAAAAATTTATGACCAATACATTTGATCACTGAACACATTGATTTCGATACCTCAATTGGTTAGAATAGTAAACACCGTCATAGAAGACTATCTCCAACTATATGAAAATATTATGCAATGCTTGTCTGGAAGATTAGATTATGCATATAACTTAATAAATATATCTTAAACAGTTCACAATTAGAGGATGATAGTCAGTCAGCCAGCTACAACGTAGGACCAGGCAGATATATGCATCGATCCAAGTTGCCATACCTCATTAGTTTAGCATGCTGAACACCGGATTCAATGATAGTAATATATAAAAGAAAGATTTCATTCAAAGATATAGTACAGGAAGGAAGAATTAGTTGGTAGAAAGCAAGATATAAAGCGATTTTATTCTTGCAGATCACCATGGAAAATCTGAAAATACTAGACGGTTGTTTCGTCCCAGTATAGTATTCCTCATCAATGCTCATCCACAATCTCGCTTATACAATTCGAATTCAACTATTAACTTATAACAATCTTTACAAAATCCTTCTTTGAATAATAAAAGCATTTCGAGTTGTTTTTTCTTTAAAGGATTATGTTTCTATTTATTTTGCATTATAACATTATAACTTCAGGGTGGAACCAACTTGGGAGTATGTGATGCATTGTTAAGAAAAATTGTTACTTATGACTTTATTTATACCTTTTTCTATCCCATTCTTATGTATATACGATACTTATAAATGGGTTCTAAATATAAAAACTACTATTTATATGTATTGTGATGTTATTAGTCGTTGATATACTTACACGTCAACACCTCTTAACATTGGGTGATATGGATAAGAGTCGATCACAATGGCGTAGGTATATATATATATATATTTACTACCATTGAATTAACTACTTCTATGAATTCGTGATTCATCTTGTTGTGCTCATGTGGTATGGTTACTTGGACCAATGTATATATGTGTCTGGTCCTATATTGTAGCTGACTGCCTGACATTGACATGCAATGTTGACTAGTGTTGGAGACTGTTGGAAGAAAGTTAGGGGCGGCCGAACCGAAAATGTGACATCAATCCTTGAAGTCACTAACTTCTAGTCTGAGCCATGGTGATAAATGCAGACTACTTGGTTGGGGTCCATGTGACTATCGTAACCAATGTTTGGAGACTGTGGGTGCTGTACTAATGAGGTATGCAACTTGGACTGATGCATATATGTGTCTGGCCCTACATTGTAGCTGATTGGACTGATTGGTCTTATCATGAATGTTATTATAAGTATATTCTAATGTTTCTCAATTCCATAATTCAACATTTCTGAGGTTATCTAAAATCTGTATTATACAGAATTACAACAACCACAATGTGAGTTTATTTTATGAGTTTTTTTTTTAAAAAGGAACTACATTAATTTAAAATAAGATATAAGATGGTGGTTGGAGGTAGTCGACAGTGAACGTAATGTCGATTGATCTAGACTAATGGCCATGTGGTGTGTGCTGCTTATGTCAACATAAGTAGTATATAACACTGGCAGTAGAATCTAAAGAAGATCGAAGAGGAAAAAATGGGAAAAGAAAGCAACTGATATGAAAATGCAAGAACAATGCAATCTGAGACGATGGACTGATATTTACAAAAGGAAACAATCAAATTTGAGACAATGGATTGATATTTCGCAAATGAAGTACTTACTGTATAGTTCACAGATTTTAATAAGACAGTCTATAATTCGATGGTTCCTACTTGTGTTCTCGTTTACTACAGACACATTACAACTTTGATCGATAGGAGTCAATCTGAACTCAGAAGGATCTGACGTACAGAATATTGATCATCACTCAGTGATCAATCAATTTATTGATCAGTAATCAACATTTATTGATCAATTGTAAAAGAACCATGAAGGGGGTTCATACGTTGTTGCTTTCAATGATGAATATTTAGAAATTTTCACAGATTGAACTCATGAGTTCAATCTGTGAAAATTTCTAAAAATCTCCACAAAACACATTCCGATAATAACAATCACCTGCTCACTAGTGACTGACTTCAGGAGACACTTCTGGAGTTCTAGTGAGAAGTCGTTACCAGTGGAGTTCAACCAGGTCTGTTGTGAGATAGGAACTCACTGAAGACAATGGTGTACGGTAGCGCAACTTCGTGGATTGGTTGAAGTTAGACATTAACACCGTTGGATGCCGGCTCAGTGGTCTAATGGTTAAGTGCTCGCGCGCGAAGCCAGTAGGTCCTGGGTTCGAGCCCCGGGTGGTGCGGGGTCGTGGGTGCGCACTGCTGAGGAGTCCCATACTAGGACGAAACGGCCGTCCAGTGCTTCCAGGTTTTCAATGGTGGTCTAGCTTCAACTGACTCATGAGTTCAATCTGTGAAAATTTCTAAAAATCTCCACAAAACACATTCCGATGAATATTTAATTCAAAAATTGGTTAACTGCCTCAATCTATTGTTCAGATTAGAATTTAGAATTGGATACATTAGTTATTACCGTAAACGCTTCAGTACTGTATTACACGAACTAACAATATGTTCAACAGTCAAGATCCTCTCTTTTATAATGAGTTTTTACATCATGTTTGATATGATCATAAGAAATTATTGAATGGATTCATTTTCAATGATCCATTCTACTACATAAAGGATGTTATGACGTGCAGTGTTCGAAGTCTAATACTGAGACATGGTATGCTAAGCCCTAACCCCCTTAACTGACTTTTTGAGCGAGAACAAAAGAGTAGGTGAGAAAGTGTATTGGACTACCGAATGAAATGTATAAATACACATATATATATATATATATATATATATATATATATATATATATATATATATATATATATATACCATTCTAACTTTAGGAAATTGATCCATTGACCCAATGAACTAAAATTCATCTTTGAACAAATTCTGATTGTCATCGATTGACCTTTTCATTAAGGTGACTTCTGTTTCATTCATCCTGTCAGAAGAGATTTAAATGTCTAGATGTTAAGCGGTTGCATACGAGATCTAAGGTTGTGAGTTCGATTACTGTACTGACGGTTGATGATTGTATAGCTAATGAATCTTATACTAGAATGAAAAGACTATCTAGGGCTTCCAAGTTTAGATAAGACCAATTTTCCTATTCATAGATAACTGTTATTATTATTATTGTACGTTTATTGTATATGAATGAATATTCATTTAGCCTACCTTATCCAATATCAGACCAATCCATCTCTTTATGGTTAGCGAAAATATCCAGTTGTATAATTTGTAATGTTTCTTGCCAGAGAACCTACGACGTGAGCGCTTAACAGATGTCCTAATTTGTCATAACTTTCAAAAACATTATTACTATTATTATTATTATTATTATTATTATTATTATTATTATTATTTGTAGTAGTAGTAGTCGTAGGCGTAGTCGTAGTAGTAGTAGTAGTAACAGTAGTAGTAGTAGTAGTAGCAGTAGTAGTAGTAGTAGTAGTAGGAGGAGGAGGAGGAGGAGGAGGAGGAGGAGGAGGAGGAGGAGAAGGAGTAGAAGGAGTATCAAATGTGTATTGAAATGTTTGAATGATATGTAGGAGATATACTCTACAATTTATCAAATTTTACATTCACAAATTGTATGATCAATCATTAATTTGATACGTTTGTAGTATATGCTACTGATATCAACAGATATTAGTAGTATGTAACATCAGTCGTAAGTGGAAAATCTGGCAGCAGTAAACTAAGAAGATCAGGAAAATAGAAAGAAATTTTGGACTAAAAGAATCGTAAAGAATGTGGAGAACAAATGATGGAATTTTACGAATGAAGTATTCAATATGTAGTTCTCATATGTTACCAAGAGATCCAGTAATTTTGTACCAACTTAAGATGGTTTCCTCTTGTGTATTCCTGTTCTTGTTTCATACTGAGACAAATTGTTCGTTATATCGCCCTATCAGGGAGAAAATACTTGCTTACTTACGCCTGTTACCCTTAATGAAGCACAGGCCGCGACCAGCATTCCCCAAACCACTCTATCCTCGGCCTTCCTTTCTAGTTCTATCCAATTATTGTTCATTCTTCTCATATCTGTCTACATTTCTTGGCATAATGTGTTCTTTGGTCTTCCTCTTCTCCTTTGGCCTTGAAGATTTCAGATGAGGGCTTGCCTTGTGACGATGAAGAAAATACGGTAACTGCCAAATTAACCTCAGAGTATATCCAAGAACTAGACTGATACCACATCAATGACAAGTATGGATCATGTTTATGGTTATAGTTTTTGGCAGTTTAATAATAGTTGAATATGTATAGTTTGTATTAGAATTCCGTTGATGTAAATTTATAACCCTTGAGATATTTATTACGTCGCTGTTTTGTTTTATAGTGAAGATAGTGAAGAATCATCGTAAGTTTAATGGAACTTTCTATTTACCTCTCAATTGCGAACGATTACTAATATTTTCAATGAAACCAATTGATTACATCATGGTGTATTTCATTATTATAATCATCATCACCAATGTACGACTAGGCACACATATATGCATCAGTCCAAGTTACCATACCTAATTAGCACAGCAAGACGAACGCCGGATTCATAGAAGTAGTTAATTCAATAGTGATAATATATAAAAGAAAGGTAGTGTATGAGGATATGATAGACGAAGAGAGAATTAGTTGGTAGAAAGATTTTAATCGCATAATTTAGAGGAGGACAGAGAGTGTATACACCGATGCCATTGTGATCGATTCTGAGCCACGCCACCCAAAGTCTCCTACTATTGGTTACAATAGTCACGCCGACCTCAACCAATTAGTCTGCATTTATCAACTTGGCTCACACTACAAGTTAGTGACTTCATGGACTGATGTGACATTTTCGTTTAGTCATGCTAGTTTGACAATAAACAAATCGTATCTCCAGGTTTTCCATGGTGATCTAGCTCCAATTGACTCATGATCTCAACTGTTTAAATTACTTTAATCTCCACAAAATGCCTTCTGATACTAATCAATGTATGCTCACTAGTGACTGGCTTCAAGATATATATCCTGGAGTTCTAGTGAGAAGCAGTGACCAGGTAGTAAATCACTGATGACAATGGTGGATGTGTCGCTCAATTTCGTGGGTTAGTTGAAGTTAGACATTAACAGCGTTGGGTACCGGCTTAGTGATGTAGTTGGTTAAGCTCCTGGCGCGACATCGATCGTGCATACGTAGTGCTGGGGAGTCTCGTACTAGGTTGAGACTGCCGTCCAGTGCTTCCAGGTTTTCCACGGTAGTCTAGCTTCAATTGACTTATGATTTCAACTGTTCAAACCGTATTTTATCTAAATTCATCATATTACCATAGAAACATTCAACGTTAACCAACTTCATTGCTGTAAATTAGCTTTGGTAGAATGAAGACAGTTTCGAATAATCAATTTGGTTTAAATAACACATCCACCTTTAAATCTAAGTTCACAGAGTGTATATTGAAACCCTAATTTTTTACATTTACTTAGATATCAGATTGATAATCCATTGAGATTATTATCATTTGACTGTATGAATACATTACATGTGTATTTCTTTTCTTCACAGGTCAATATATCAAATTCTACTGTGAGTAATATTCATGATCTTAAACATCCCTTTTATCGATTATTTATGATCAACTATTCAAATGTCATTCAATCGACAGTTTGGAATTAACTGGACGATTTGAACTTCGTAGATGACCTAGCTCTTCTGTAACCATACACATCAACAAATGCAAGTCAAGATAAACAGTGTAGCAGAAGCCACTGTATCAAATAATACAAAGAGAACACTAACTCGATCACACTTGGTGGACGAACTCTGGAAGATGTGGAAAGTTTCACTTATCTCAGTATCATCATCCATGAATGTGGAAGATCTGATGCAAACGTAAAGACAACGATTGACAAGGCAATGACAACATAACTACAAATGAAAGACATATGGAACCCAAAACAACTGTCAGCCATTATCATAGTCACAATCTTCTACTGTATGGAGCTGAAACTTTGAGAACTACCACAACAATCATTAAAACGGTAAAAGTTATTTATAAACAATGGTCTACATAATATACTCAATAATTGTTGACCGGATACCATCAGCAACAACCTACTATGGGAGAGGACATATCAGCTTCCAAATGAAAAGGAAATTAGGAAAAGGAGATAGAAGTGGATGGGACACTGTAATAACTCGTAACCGCCGATTAGAGAGCAGCGACTTATCGATCGGACCAGTGATGCATAAAACACGTGCGAGCAGCCTAGAGTCCTGATTGGTCCTGCTTCCCGCCTAACCCAGCCAGATAAGTTCAGAACACCGGTCTCATCCTCTGCAATATGAATCCTTATATTTCAAACATACTCTGTTTATATACCAATCAAACAGACCACATCGTACCAACAAAATATGAAACAACATTTGTACAAGAATTAGCCAGATGTGGCTGTGAATGAGTGAGGTAGTAATTAATATACTGGGTATAACTCAAGAATGGTAAAACGTATAATAATAGTTTATGGGTCAAAATAAAGCTTATAATAAGAGAGACATAAATATGAATAGTGTAGTTAATTAACAATTATATGATAAAAATGTAAGTATAGTATTGGTCCACAAATGGGTCCCAAAAGTTATCATTCATTATCCCTGTCGACACATAACAGACACACATCAAGGAAATCATCAAACTGCCTCACGACACAATTCCTAACTTGGAATCCTGAAGGACAACCTAGAAGAAGAAGGCCGAAGAACACATTATATTGGGAATTGGAAGCAAACATAAAAAAGGATGAATAACAACTAGAAACAACTGAAAAGCATTGCCCAGGACATGACTGAATGGAGAAGACTGATGAGCGGTTTATGCTCCTCCACAAGCGATAACATGCGTAAGTAAATAAGCACTCACATAGGAATGAACTAAAGAACTGCAAATTTTGAAATGGTTTACAATTTCAAAGATTTATATATAAAATTTTGATTGGAAATTCATAGAAACATTGAGTAAAGTTCATTGACAGAATCGTTGAATCTTCCACTGTATGTTATTAATATGCTCTATTATTTCATTGAAGAATAATTTTCATTAGGTCTAGACACACCTGTTAAGTTTGTTCCCTTTCTACTCTTTTGTATATTGTCTTATACTACTTATTTACATTCAGTAAGCAGTTGTATTCCGAACAACTTACACACTTATGTTGTAACTCGAGTTCTACTGTGACATTCTGAAATGTTCACATATATTTTTAACGTTCATTGTACTTATCATTGTCTTTATCATTATAATCACTGTGCTTAAATCACTGTAACGGGTACCCAAAGTTTTGTGCATTTGTTTAAACGCAACAGTTTCCATATTGTTTGCTCTTGGTTCGAGTTTCGGTTGCGCATAAACTGTTATCAAATTTAGACACAGCTATCGGCTGTCTTTGTACTATCGAAGCCTTTGTTATTTTCATTCTTGAAGGACGCGTTTGAACGCCTAGACACCTCACAAGTTGAGGTTTGTAACAAAATTTTGTGTATTATTCAATAAAAAACCGCTATTGTAGACAAATCGTTGTTTTGGAACTTCGATTTTGTGCGTATCTCAATCGGGGTTACTTGGACGCTTCGATAGAATTAACACCTTCTTTGGACTTGTTTCAGGAATCCAGTCAAAAGTTTGACTAACATCAAGTGAATTTCAACAAAGTATCACATTCCGTAAAGATCAAGACAATAACACTGTTAGTTGCTGGCCGGTTCAGTGATCTAGAGATTAAGCGTTCGCGCGCCAAACCGATAGACCCTGGGTTAGAATCTTGTGAGGGGTGTTTGTTGTCGTGGGTGTTTGATTGCTGAAGAGTCCAATACTAGGACGAAACAGTTATCTATTGCTTTCAAATTTTCCATGATGGTTTAGCTTCAACTGACTCCAATCATGGTTTCATTCAATTTTACATTTTGTTTGTTCTTTTTTTAAAAAAAGAAATTTACTTCACAAATTATGGTAAGTTTTTTTTCTTTCAGTAAAATGAAGTCATTCCATGTTGACCATTGTCATACCATTTACTTACTTATAATTAACACATACAAGATGTTTGTTCCTTTTGTTGTTGGAAGGAACATCAGAATTTGACTGGAAGTATCATTCCCAATTGGGTTTTCCTTCATAGAATGATGTATGTTATATCTCGGATAAGTAGTAGGAAGGTTAGACAGATACAGGGTATTAGGGAATGATATTGGTAAATCAGTTGATGAGGTTGTGAATCTTCATCGACTAAGATGTTTGAACCACGTGTTACGTGATAAGTCTTGCTAATTGAACGCTATATTCCGTTTCTAAGCTATTCTCGTAACCCTCAAGTTAGAACTACACAGCGAACTGAACATGAGAGAAAAGGCGCAAAATATGCGAGAAGCACTTCACTCCAAAGGTTTGCTTTCTACGGAAAATATAGGGTTTTTATAGTATTTTAGATGTCCTTTGGTTTCCCGAAAATTCTGGAACGCTACTAAGCATAGTAGCAGTATAGTAATCAGCTAATCAAAAACTCTACACGTGAGTTTTCACTTTCATAATGTTTTTGGTTAAACTTCAAGTGAACGCTGATTGAATAAAATGCTTCTTAGTGTTTCTTGAACCTTTCTTGTCTTTTGCAAGAAGTTTTCTGGATCACCCCAACTTCACATATACATGAACATCGATTACCACGACATGTAATGCTGACTAGTGTTGGGGAGGGTTGGAAGAAAGTTAGGGGCGACCAAAACAAAACGTGGCATCAGTGCTTGAAGTCACTAGCTTGTGGTATGAACAATACTGACAGATGCAGACTATTTGGTTGATGTCCGCGTGATAATCTTAACTAATGGTTGGAGAATGTAGGTTACATGTGACCGAATTGATCACTGCGAATATCTCAATTCAGTAACTCAACGAATAAGCATGTCATAGTTTGATGCACATATTGCTAGATCTATTTCCTAGCGTAGACATAGGCAATGAAATCCAGGTGTGTTCACTTGATGAGCCTCAGAGTGAATGATAAATTCCACTGCTAGTTACAATTCATTCATTAAGCGAGAGTAGTTCATTCATTCAGATCATGACCCTACGAATGATTGTTATTGAAATATACATTCTGACTATTGGCGTATAATCTGCTTTAGTGTATAACGGAATGAAATAAGTTGAATAGGAGAATGGATTTTTGAATACAATCATAATAAAACGATCCGCCGGATGGATCAATGAGAAAAGTTGACATGAGGACAAAGTATCAACAAGATAATACGATTTGAGTATGTCCAAGTCGTGCTGCCCAGGATTTGTTGAATACATCGGATTAGAGATTGGCCTGTCTTCGTTGAGTTTTTTCATCAAAAATCTAGAGTCTAGAAGTTTGAGATGGTGGAGAAGATTTGCAGCTCATGTGGATGATTTTGATGGAGTTTTGTTCTCTGAGCTGGATGGTTTGGTCGTGGAGATAAAAGTTTGTGCTGATGATGTCGTCAAGAAGAACGATGAAAGCTCCACGATTAAACCATCCAGCTCAGAGAACAAAACTCCATTAAAAGTCTAGAAGTCTACTCATTGACACAGCGGTGGCAACTCAATGATAGAATGCTTGCCTGCCATGCCGACGGTTCGGGTTTGATTCCAGGCAGACGTTCCCCCCCCCTCAAAAGACTATAAATTACAAGTTAATCGTCAAGTAAGTTTATTCAGAATGTCAACATTCTTTCTGATCAGTACATTTTCTCAAATAAGACAATATGTATCTTTTTCAATTGTAGGGCAATGTTGAAATATTTACTGAACTTTCTGTAAAGAAGATGAAACTATGGAATTATTTACTTCAAGACTCCTTATTATTAACGTAGTATCTTTATACTAATGTAGAGATTGTTAAACAAACACTACTTTATTCTGATTCAAATTGATTTTAACTTGATAAACTTGTCTTCATTGTAATTAATTGAATAGATTTCTCAATACTCATTATCATATTTCATTGTAAATATGACAGTGTTGACTGATGAAGTACTGACTTGATTAGTACGAAACATAATATAGATAATAGTTGGATATGATACCATTCTATGATCAAAGTAAATATCACAAAAGGATTAGGGGCCTTTAAATTAAACCACAATAATCAATTACTTACTTACTCCTGTTACCCCAATGGAGCACAGACCACCAGCTAGCATTCTCCAACCCACTCTGTCCTGGACCTTCCTTTCTAGTTCCATCCAATTCTTGTTTATTCTTCTCACATCTGTCTACATTTCTTGGCATAATGTGTTCTTTGGTCTTCCTCTTCTCCTTTGGCCTTGAGGATTTCAGATGAGGGCTTGTCTTGTGATGCAGTTGGGTGCTTTTCTCAATGTGTGTCCTATCCACTTCCAGCACACAATGTTGAATCACCTTGACTGCTGGCCATATTGCAACTTGGTTGATAGCATTCAATTTGCACCCAACACATGTGACACTGATCACCACCCAGTGATCAGTCAATCGTGATTGGATGCTTTTTTATCGATACTTGAAGATTTCAACAATTCCCGACATTCTCAATTGATTTTCCAAAATTCAAATGTTAACAATTATTACATAATCTCATATACTCTCATCGATTTTTACGGTTAATTTATACCTGCTGGGTGGCCAATGCTCCTCTACGAGGAGTAACAGGCTTAAGTAAGTAGGTAAGTATGTAGCACCTACCAACTTAATACTTGTTTCATTTCATATATTTTTTCAACGAATTATGAATAATACAATATACTAAACGGTATTAAATCCATTCGAACCTGTTGGACAAGCTGCCGAGAACTACGACGGAGCCCTCAGCGGCTCTAAAGAAGTCGAAAAGTTTTCATCTCTAGAATATCAGCGTGGCATGCTATGTTTGGACGGTACCATAACTTTCCTCTTTGCGCATTGGCTGAATGATAATGTTGATATAACGAACGTTGATATCTATAAATACCTATGATTTTCTGGATATTTTGATTCTTACTCAACAACCACTTCTGCTTTCTTCTGTCTTCTGATTTGCGACTATAAGAGGTTGTATAAGTTAAAGTGTTGTAGTTGTATTACCATATTCTGTATGAATCAAGTAATCAACTTAACAGAATCGTTGAATTGAATGAATGAGTGAAGGTAAGAAGAAACGAATAGAAGACACATTGACATTTAATTCACTAAATTGTATTACATCATATATTACTATTGAATTTATTTGTTTAATTATTCATAATAAACTAAATGAATGTTACTATTCAACTTATTACGCAATCAAGTGATCATTGTCCCATAGCCATGAATTTTGTTCTAATACATGAGAAAAGATAAACAATGAAATTAGTGGTAATATGTAACAGAATAAATGTGAATAGAATAAACTGTTATGTCCAACACTTTAACCGGGTTGGTGGACACGGAGAGTCCATCTAGCGGAGTTGGAAAACCCTGATTCTAAACCAATGGTGCACATGGACTCCAGTATCCTGAAGGAACTCATGGCGTATGAACCAATTATTGGTCACTGGTTACCATGGAACTTAATCTCCTGACGTTGCTACACTATCTTGTGAGTTAGACCTTTATGTTAAAGGCTCCGAATGGTAACTTTTGGGATCTTTTGATGGACCAATACTCAACATATATTTCCATTGTATAATTATTAAGTAACTAAACTATGCATATTCATATTCCTCTTATCATAAGCTTTATTTTCACCCATAAACTATTATTATACGTTTTACCATTCTTGAGTTATACCCAGTCTATCAATTACTACCTCACTCATTCACAGCCACATCTGGCTAATTCTTGTACAAATGTCGTTTCATATTTTGTTGGTACGATGTGGTCTATTTGATTGGTATATAAACAGAGTATGTTTGAAATATAAGGATTCATATTGCAGAGGATGAGACCGGTGTTCTGAACTTATCTGGCTGGGTTAGGCGGGAAGCAGGACCAATCAGGACTCTAGGCTGCTCGCACGTGTTTTATGCATCACTGGTCCGATCGATAAGTCGCTGCTCTCTAATCGGTGGTCACAAGTTGTAACATAAACATAGTCTAAAATCAACTGCTTTTAAAGTCAATTATATGCTCTGTTCAATTCAAACTGATTAAAAACATATTATATAACGTACTGTGTACTTCTCAGGATGGAAGGTAATGATTAATGATGGTCAAATAGAAAATCCGCTCGATTTATATCTTGTAATATTTGGCACTTACTAGAAACATGTACCTGTAGCTTTGAGAGAATCGGCATTCCTCAATGTATTGGTTCTAGTATCACTAACTTCATTTTTCAAAGATGTTACTGTTGAACTATCGAAGACACGATGACATATTGCGGATAAGTATAAAATAACATGGAACTTAGGTACCGAGTTATCTTGGCGACTACATCCAACCACTATAATATCTTATGTATATATCTGATATGTACAGATTTCTTAGCTGAACTAAGTTATATTACTGAAACGTTTAATGAGAAAAACTAATCAGTCTAACAATTATGGTGTACATAAATTGAATAACTCACAGAAATGTCTTCCATGTACTACATTTCAAATGTATGAAATAAAATTCAGAAGCATAATATATTACTTAATTCTAAACTACTCATTTCATAATTCTTTAAAAATATAATTGATTGTCTCATTACCAGCACCTCTCAGTTATCCCCTATTTTTAAATAACTTTCAAAGAGGTATTCTGTTGTATACTACTGATTTCGACAGATATAAGTAGTATGTATGATCAATCAAAAGTAAAATATCTGGCGGAAAGTTTCACTTGTCTAGGTAGCACCATTAATGAACATGGAAGATCTGATACAAATGTAATAGTGAGGATTATCAAAGGAAGGACTGTATTCATACAATAGAAGAACATATGTAAATCAAAACAATTGTCAAGCAACAACAAACTGAGAATCTTCAACATAGTCCTACTGTACGGAGCTGGAGCTTGGAGAACTACTGTAATCATCACCATCATCATCATCATCAAAGCAGTACATGTATTTGTAAACAATTGTCAACACAAGATTTTCAATATCTGTTGATGGGATACCATCATCAACAACCTATTGTAAGAGTAAACAAATCAATTTCCAGTTGAAGAGGAAATTAGGAAAAGATATTGAAGGTGGATAGGACATACATTGTGAAAATCGTCAGACTTAATCACAAAGCAAGCACTAATTTGAAATCATGAATAGAAATGGAAATGAAGAAGATCAAAGAACACATTTTGTCAAGAATTGGAAGTAAACATAAGAAGGATGAACAGTAACTGAAAACAACTGGAAAGTATTTCCCAAGTCAGATTTAGATGGAGGATGCTGTTGGGACGGTCTATACTTTTCTACGAGGATTAACAGGAGTAATTAAATAAGTAAGTTTCTTCCTTATTTAAACTAATCAACAAGGCGAGACTCTCTTTTATGGACGAGACAATCAGCAGAGTTTCAGAGATTTCAAGGTTACGGCGCTAACTTCAGTGCTTCATGCTAACGTACGATCGGTTCATCTTACTTTACTTACTTACTTACGTCTGTTACTCCTCGTGAAGGAGCATAGGCCGCTCACCAGCGTTCTCCATCCAACCCTGTTCTGGTCAATCCTTTCCAGTCCTTCCAGTTGTTATTCATCCCTTTCATATCTGATACCATTTCCCAACGTAATGTGTTCTTTGGCCTTCCACTTTTCCGTTTCCCTTCAGGATTCCAAGTTAGGGCTTGCCTCATGGTACAGTTTGGTGATTTGCGTAATGTATGTCCTATCCATTTCCATCGTCTTTTCCTAATTTCTTCTTCAGCTGGAAGTTGGTTTGTTCTCTCCCACAGAAGGATATTGCTGATTTTATCCGGCCAATGGATGACGATCGGTTCATAGGGGATTTTATATAAAACATGATAATTAAGCAGCTATAACAAATAAAACGGCGGGACTATAATTTGTGAACGAACCAATCAGGTATAAGATAACAGATCTCGTATTTTGGCCTCGAAAGTCTATCATCCATTTGACTAAAGAAATTTCTGGCATTATAGCTGATGTCAGTTCGTGATGGAAGCCCCATATATAATGCTTAACTAAGGCAAATTATGACAATTATCGCGAACTGGATAATAGAAGTACCAGTAACACTGGTTGCAGCCAGGTACTACAATATATACGGATGTTTGGAGAGAGTATGGACTGTTACACAGCCTTCGTTATGTGCATCGTGTCGTTATCCACAAGTAGCATTTTGTGCACTCAACAATCGGAGTACACATAAACAATATTGGAACTATGTGGTCGGGGCTGAAAGAGTTTTTGAAACTTTAGATGATTCCAGAGGCCGACTATTCTGTAGCCGTTTGGATGATTTCCTCTAATGCATGCCTTACCTCTGAACCTCTTTCTAATCTTGACAAGTTTTAGAACCACATATAAAAAGTGTATCCACTTTATTTCCTTGATTTCGTATAATATATTTTTACTCTATACTGACTATTTGCTGATTGTCTAATATTTCTCACTTAAGATTCGTTCAAAGGTTGTCCACAAATTAGAGTCTCGCCATCAACAAGATATGATTCTATTAACTCATTAGATTAACTGCAATGAATTTGTTGGGACATTCAGAAAAATATCCCAAAAATGATCCTGCTAAGTTTAATACTGTCCTTGAACGTGAAATGGTGTCATTTTCCTATTGGTCAATATTTATGATGGTCTGTAAAGTATCGTTCCTATTCCTATTCTTATTCTTCTCCTGACTCCATAAACAAATTCTATCTACGGTTCGTGTTCTGGTATAATGGAGAATGAAAACCAATATTGGGGGCCTAGTGGGATATCTGAAGTTGGTCAGTCGGTGGAAAGTTAGAGTAGCCACCCCCATGGTCCACAATAGAATTTCATTGGATTTTCAATGTTGGTTAAACTTTAAATCGATTTTATTAACTTGAACTAAGATCTTTATAAATGATAATAACGGAGAATTCAAACATTAACATTGTTAACTTACCATAATTTACTGAATGCTGAACTGTTTAATGAAAAAGTGACGGTTAATTTATTATTTCTTTTGAAATAAGTGAAACACAAATATTGTGATGAGAAAAATTAATTAATCTTGATTGATGTTAGACCATTATTCAAAACCTGGAAACACTGGACCGAGGTTTTTTCCTATTATGGGACTTCTGAGCGTTGCACGTGATTCGAATTCAGGACCTTTATTATCGAGCGTAAAACCCTTAACCTCTAGGCCCTCAAATGCCGTGGTACGATAGAGAGTGGGAAGGGTCAGCTCTCCCTCTCCAAATGCTCTCAAATGGCCATGCGTATATAGTCTCTACCAGGAAAGTCCTACTCACTGCCTTCTCGCGGTAGGGGTGTTGTTTACGAAATTAAGAGGACGAAAAACGAATGTCTGGCAATTTAACCGAGTTGGTGGACACGAAGGGTCCACCTAAGGCAGTTGGAAAACCCTCATTCCAAACCAATGGTGCACATGAGCTCCAGTATCCTGAGGGAACAA